TATCATTGAGTTGGATTTGAAGGATGACTGTGACAAATTACATGGCATAGGGCCTATGGAGAAATAGGCATTCCACATGCAAAGGCATGGAGGAACTGAAGCAATTTGAAGCTGTTAGAGCATAAAGTGGAAATCACAATATAAATTGTTTTTGCACATGAGTACATCTATAGAAAATATAGAGTAGATTATAAAATACATTTGTACATAACTAACAGCCACTCCTCGGAAGGAAGGTTGGGCAATCTACTTCCGTAGTGATACCACTTCGGAAACTCAAGGAGGGGTCGCTATGAGTCAGGGCTGACTCAACGGCACATAACAACAACAACAACAACAACATATGTGTGTGTGTAGGCTGATGGAATTAAATTCAATTATGCACTACAGAAAGTTAAAGATGAGGCTGTAATTAACATAGTTTCACATAAAATCAGGGAGACCCACTGAGGCCTAAATGAGACTTCTACAGAGCAGTGAGCCAGTGATTCAGACCACTTCAATCTTCAACTACTCACGCTGTCCACAAATGTTCTGGGGACTAGTCCCAGCCTTAATCAACATCCGTTTACCTATTGTTAGGTTATGATGAGGTTATGTGTCTGGTATCATATTTAGTGTATTGAGCACAGGCTCTGAAGTTGTACTGCCTAGATATATTTGTCAGGATCCAGTGAGGAAACAGATTGGCCTTTCCAAAAGGGTGACTGAAAAGAATTTAATGAAGGATTATTTGAAGGTTTTGGGCAGCATTAAGGGAAACCAACAGTAAGTGTGAAGCACAATGGGGTGGGTAGCTTCATGACCCGAAAGCCTGAAGAGGCAGGGGAATAGAGTATACCTAAGACAGCTATTGGGAGGGAGATGGGGAAGTGAAGGGGAAGGAAAAGGTACAAGGGAACATCACCCCTGAATTCTCTCCTCCTGTCCCCCTCCCATCTCCTGCTAGTGTCTCACAGTGGCAGAACCCAACTGTTATCCAGAGGCAAGGAGATCAGTTGCTGCCCTTCAGAAGGTCAGCCTCCCTGGTGCAGAGTAGGGTGGAGAGCAGATCTAGAGGGCAGAGAGAGAAAGCCAGCACATGAAGTTGAAGGCTGGCTCAAACACTAACTAATAGCATGAACTTGACCAGGTTATCTAACTACTCTGTGCCCTGGCTTCTTCATTTATAAAATGGGAAATGATAGTATCTATGTCATGAAGTTATTGTGATGATTAGTGTGGATAAAGCATTTAATATGGTGCCTGGTACATACAAACCAGTAACAATTTGTATTATGGCAAGAACACAGGTTCTTTATTGTCCACATTTTATAGATTCAATGGCTGAGGTGCAAAGACATTGAGTGACATCCACAAACTCACATACATCTGCTAAGTAGCAGGGGCAGAATTCAAACAGTGGGATTCCAGAACTTGGACGGGTGAAACTTACATAGCCTTCAAAGTCCAGTGCAAATCCATCCTTCCCGAAAGCATTTCCTGACCAGCTCAGCCTACTGTCTTGCCTTCTCTGAGTACTTCCAGACATACTGCCTTACAGTTCCTCTGCCCGGCATTATAGGACACAATATATCATGATTACCACCCCTAGAAAGAGCCTGCCATTTGTATTTTCTCTTACCCTCTGCTTCTTGTTGTGGATATCTATCCTGTTGCCCTTATCTAATCTCCTCAATACCCACCTCCCCACTCCACTCCACACGTGGACCTAGATTGAAACTGCTGTCTCTGACTTGGTCTTTAAATTGTCAGACCCACTCTCTCAAAGTCTGCAACCTAGGCAGTTTTCTACGGTCCTTTGGATGGACACTTGCAGCACTTCTTCCCTCATTGGAGGGGAGGGAGCAGGTGCCTCTAAACCTCCCATCATAATGTCAGGCAGAGGAACGGTCGGGCAATTTGTGCTGGAAGTGTTCAGAGAAGGAAAGACAGTAGGCTGAGCTGGTCAAGGAAGGCTTTTTGGAAAGGTGGATTTGCACTGGACTTTGAAGGCCATGTAAGTTTCACTAATCAGAAAAGGAAAGACTGTTTCACAGAAAAGGAACCCTCCTGCTTAGGAACAGCCCTTACTTAGGTTGGAGGCATGCAGAGGGCAATGGGGCCTGGAAACGGCCTGCTAGTGGTGACCTGCCTCGATGCTTGTGTGCGCAGGTGGTGCTGGTGGGATGAGAAGTCCTCTTTTCATATAAATTGCTTGTTAACTGCAAAATTATGGCTATGACTGTCATCTCACTTATGTTTTTCTTGCAGGTTTCTAATTTTCATGCATGATTTTCAGTGAAAGTTTCTATGACTTTGATTTTTAGATTTCAAGACCCTCTGTCTTGTGCAAATTAATGTTATTGATATCAATGATGAGATCCCCATCTTTGAAAAGTCAAATGTGAGTAGTTGTTACCTTTTATTTATTTATTTATTTAGGTCTTTCTTTTTCATATTACCTAATCTTTACTTACTGTTTGACAAAGACACAAAGAAATTAGGAAAAGTGCCAAGCTTCACAGGTAGCCTTGGTCAATGCACTGGTAACAAACCCAGATACCATCTTCAGTAGAAATCTTCAGGGAACAGTAACATTCATTGTTATAGAATCTGAGAATGCGTGTTTATAAACTCCAGCCAACAGCTCATTTATGCCAAGGACTGCTTAAAATCTACAACCACAATCCATGTCAAATTGAAAGGATCTGTATTAGGACAATAAATAGACTACTGGTAAGTCTCAAATAAGCATGTTTAGCAAACAACTTAAAGTTTGGAATATTGAAATCTTAGTCATTTTACAATAATTGTTAAGAGAAACAATAAAGAAAAAACAAATGTCTAGCATAAGCCAAAGAAAACTGTGCCCAAGACATTTGCAAGAATTAGGAGAATTGGTCGGTCAGAAAGAGTCTGTGAAAAAGATCAGTTTAGAATATCAAGAAAAATGCAAATTACTGTTTACTTATTATTGATGTGGGCTTTAGACTTAGTAGTTTCATCATTGCTTCTCTTAAAAGGGATGTCTCTGTTTTGAAACAGAGAGAAGCCCATTTAACTATATTGTTATGTCATGTTTGAAGTCAGTTATGAGGCAGCCCAGAGACCTGGGATGACACTCATAAATCAAAATAGGGACAAGGTTGTGACAAAGAAAGGGAATTGATTTATGAGAGGGCTTAGGGCAGTAAGAGGTGTGACTCCACGTAACTTGTCTAACGGGCACTGAGGTTAAGCAAGCATAAAATAGAATACATTTCTTCTCAGCCTCCATTCTCTTGGGTCTTTTATTCTCTCCTCTTGTCATGATATTCTTGTATTACATCTAGATGGTATTTCTCAGATTGAGGGTATGAATTCTAGTTTGGGGGTGACATGGAGGGTGTCTCAGAGCTTAGAGATTAAGTCTGGCCTATCGGGGCAGAATAAGCCTGCTTTTTTCATTGCCATGGTCCTCTCCTGGATCCCACCTGTTACAATCTTTAAGATTCAGATGGCAAGAGAAATGACCTAGGGGATATTCAGTGAGGAGTGGGAGATGGTCCAGGCCAATGATTAAGAACATAGCCTTTGGAGTTTGAACAAATATGCTTTTGAGTCCCAATTCTGTGACTCACTTGCTGTGTAATCCTGGATGAGTTTAACCTCTCCAAGCTCAGTAAAATGAGCATGGTAATATAGCTTCTCCACAGGGAATATTATTTTGTTTATCTTTGTTGAGCACTATGTGTCAGGCATTCAGGGGCTTCACTGTATTATCTCTTTTAATCTTCATAGCAAATATGAAATAGATTCTATTATCACTGTTCTCTTCAACAGATAGAAGATAAAACTAAGACTTAAAGAAGTAACTTACTTCAAGTCCCCCAACTAATAAATGACTAACTAGCCTGGGATTCATACCCAAGTTTTTAACTCCAGAGTTCAAGCATTTCACTATAATCTTGGTTGATTTAAGAATTAATGAAAACAATGTATGTAAAAAGTGCTTACAACATTGTAGGTGCCCAAAACATAGTGGATATTTATTTATCTCATTACTGTTATCATAATACTTATAGTTGTTAAGCATATTGGATTTGAGTGGGGGATGTCTGTTGTAGAATCTTAACAGCTGTCTAAGATGTTGCATTCCTTTGTAAAAAAGATAGCGGTCCATAAGTATGATTGATTTCAAAATCAAGTACAATATATTCATCAAGAGGAAAAACAGACTTGATAAATATTGATGCAAACCATGACTTATTTCCATTCTGGACTCAACGATATGTGTTTGTCCTTTAATAATTTTGCTTAATGACAATACATATGCTCATTGTTTCCTTCCCTACTTCCTCCTTAGTATGGAAACCTGACTCTTGCTGAAGACACAGAAGTTGGGTCCACCATCTTAACCATCCAGGCCACAGATGCTGATGAACCATTTACTGGGAGTTCTAAAATCCTGTATCGTATTACAGAGGGAGACAGTGAGGGACATTTGGAGATTGACACAGACCCCCTCACCAATGCTGGATATGTCAGGATTAAAAAGGTAAATAGCCTACATAATGGAATTTATCTCTATGTATATTAATTTACCTATAATCGCATGAGGGACTTTAAGCAGAAGTGATGTGTTAGTCATGATGTCTCAGGCATGGCAATGACTTTGTTTTAAAAATTTTTTATTGTGATTTGGGTGAAAGTTTACAGAGCAAATTCACTTTCCCTACAGCAGCTCACATAGTTTGTCTCTTGACATTGACTACAATTTCCCACAATGCAATAGCTTCCCTTCCACTTCCTCTCCACAGTTACCTCTTTCCTGTGTCCTTCCCTCCCATGCGCTCCTGCCCCCCGAGCTGTGTCCCTGTGCATATACTACCCTTCTATTCTCCCATGATTGATCTCTCCAAGGAGTGTATCTACCTAATATAAATGTTCAGCTTATATGCCTGTCTTTTGTTTGGCTAGAAGCCATAAGAGTTGGTTAAATTCCAGAACTAAAGGGCAGCAAGGGGCCATAGTCTCAGGGGTTCCACCAGGATTTATCAGCCCAGCAAACCTGGTCCCACTCCCCCTGCCTTTTTTTTATGATTTTGAGTTTTGTTCCACATTGTTCTCTCACTTTATCCAGGGTCTCCTACATAGATCCCTCTCTGAGTGGTTGACAGTGGCAGCCAGGCATCATTTAGTTCTGGTCTCATAGTCATGTAGGCTGAGGATTGCATGGTGTACCAGTCTCAGGCATGGCAATGACTCTTGAAACATGCTCAGCCATTCCTATCCTCTTAAAAGACGGAAGACCAGAATTCTAGTCCTGGGTCTTCACTAACTGCCCAAATAAACTTTGCAGAGGGAGACAGAGTTGCCACATAAAATACCTATTTAAATTAGAATTTCAAATAAATGACAAGCAATTTTTCAGTATATACATGTTCCAAATGTTGCATGGGACAAATGTACGCTAAAAAATTATTCATAGTTTATCTGAAATTCAGATTTGACTGAGTGTTCTGTAAATCTGGAAAAGCTAGAAGGGGTCACTTGACCTTTCAGGGTTTCATTTCTCCCTTTGCAAATGTGGAGATTTGGTCTGGATGAGCCTTATGGCTCAGTAGGTTGTAAGTTTCCTTCATTCAACATAAAACAGAACAAAAACTTTATTCTAGTGATCCTAAAACATAACCTCCTATAAACTTCTCTTGAATAATGACTAAAAAATATCTGTGGGTCTCTTTTCAAGGTTTGTAGGCAAGTTCACCTTTGTATTTCAGCCCTTTCCTCAAACTTTCACTTTTTGATGGTATTGCTAAACCCTCTGGCTCTTTCTTTGTCTCTTACATTGTAAGGACTGGTAGTCTAGAAGCAAAGTCTTATTTGTCATTTCTTTGCTTCTTTACACAGCCCTCCCCCCCCAAGTCGCTTAATCTACTCTCGTTTCTCCCACCAGGTATACTGAATTCATGACCTTTTACTCTGTGGCTGTCTCATCTGTGCTTTAGGACATGTAGTGGGTTTACTAGATGACTCAGTTGGAAGCAGCAGTCAATTCCATCCAGTATACTTAGAATTAAAATACTTTCCTATGGACCAGAGTTAAGTCTTCCCTGAAAAAGGGGTCAAAGTGACAATGACAGAAGGTCCATAAGTGGGGTTCATACTGCAGGTTTGCAGCGCAGTGTGGTGGAGGCTGTGAGAAGACTTTGGAGAACAGTTTTGAGGTAGAATGAAGGAAAGCTGAAGGGAGTGGGTAAAAATGAAGACAAAGTAGAATCATTCCAGGAAATAAAAGGGTGGGGGGATAAAAACACAGGGAGAGCAGTTCCCTGGGGCAGTCTCAGAATTCTGATCTCTTATTACCATATTGACTCTGACAAAGAACCTCACTAAGTTTTAGCAGCAAGAGGACCTCAGGCTGTTCCCATTGGGGGTTAGTGGGGGGCCAACTCAAGCCATTCTGTGAGTCTGGCATTTGGAAAAGGCACCATTACACCTTTGCTCCTAGCTCCTAGCCGTCTTGGTGGAGGAAAGGATGAAGGAAAGGGCTGATTTTGGAATTTGAGTGGGTGGCCTAGGCAGTGTAGGCATGATCCTTTTGTGGAATAGACGTGGGGGGGGGGCAGCTTGTTTCCTATCCTCTCCCAGAAACGGAGCTCTCTGGGGATCTGAGGTAAAAGAGAGGCCATCCAGTGTGAATGACACCACACAGGTCCATATTTGGTAGCTTCTTGTGAGCTCACCTAAGCTGATTTGACTATATGTGGCTACACAGAGGATGTGGGGGCAGCTTCTGATCTCTAACTTCACAAGGGGGAAGAAGGATCAAGATGACTATCAACAGCCCAAGGCTGATTCCTATGAGGTGGAGGTCAAATATGGCACCACCCTTCAACCTTCATACCAATTCTGACACCAACCATCACTCCCATGACACTCTCTATTTCTGTGCTGAGTTTGATAATCTGCTGAATGGCTACGTGGAAATCATAAGCAATACTCATGACTATGGGATTTATTAGGGAAGTAACAGGTTACAACTCAGGATTAGGAATACTCAGGATACAGTTCTTTGATCAGAACAGCCTCCCCTCAGCTGTGCCCATACAAACCAAACCAAACTCTGCCGTCAAGTCGGATCCAAC